GGGATTTTGGTTGGAGAATTCATGCATGAAAGATGTTTGATAAAATGTCCATTGGTAGAGATTGTTTGTTTTAGTATCTAATAGTGATGGTTTCTCTAGGAAGATGATTTGACTTAGATATTAGTATTTGTATATCTCAATTAGGTTTTGACAAGGGATGTATTTAAGAAGCTGTCAAAATATTATTTGAGTTTTAAATTATTATGAGTTAAATGGTTAATGATTTATAAGGTATATTATCATTTTAAAAGTCATACTTGAATGATTAAAAATGGTCGGGCAAGAGAATTAAAGGATGTAAGTTTTATTGAATGGTTTGGAGTGTCACATGTTAGGCATTTAGTAAAAGTTTAAGAAGAAATCTTTAGATGTGAATTTTATTTCTAAGTTTCAAAAGTAATTATTTTATTAATTCTAGTTGAGTGGACTCTCTTAAAGAAGACTTGTTAATTCAAAAGCAAAGTTTATGAAGATTTTGTCATATATTATAGGGTAATCGTAAGTAGGGTAGCTTGATTGGAATTGAAAGAAAAGAGTTTTGAAGTTAAAGGCGCTATAGGTAAGTAGATAGCGTCCGAACTAATTTATCAATTAATTTTTTTTACTAAAATTTATTTTGTTACATTAATTATTTTAATAATAGTTATGTTGATTAGTGAATACTTTGTTAATTAAATTTCTTCATTTTAAATTTTAAGATGGTGGTAAAAAATGATTCATCATAGCATATCAATATTTTATCTCTTATGAGATATCCTTTCAAGATTGATAAAATTTCTTTTCACTAGCATTGACAATTTTTGATTATTTATAAATGCAAGCACGAGCATTGGATATAAAATTTTATTCTGGCAAGTTTTAATGCTTAAAAGTATTTATGTGAGTTTGATTTTGAGAATGAGAACTGTATCTTGAAAGTAATGATTTTCTCACATGTTTGAAAATGATTTTAAAAGAGGACTTTATACAAAACACTGGTTGCTAAAGGCAGTTTCGTTAGCCCTTGACGTGCCATGGTACACCTAGCTAGCAAGGTGTTTATAGAAGGTGCTAGCTTCGTGCGATGGCCAACACACATGGAACGGAGGGATGGTTATTCGTGAGCATTGTACTCATATTTGATTTCATGGTTTCAAGTCGTGTTTGGTTAGCATTACCTTCGTGGACTGTGTGTCCATGTTTGTTTTCATGGTATAAGTCGTGTTTGGTTATTTATCCTTGTGGATTGTGTGTCCGTGTTTGTTAATTGTTCTGATAAGTCTCTATAATTATGAATCTAGTTATTTGAGGATTTATATTCCATTGATGTTATTCAGTAATTTGTTTATAAATATTTATTCCATTTATGTGCTTTCTTAGAATCAAGTCCTATTAACATTTGCCATGATAGTTCAATGATTTAAGACAATTTTAAAATTTAATAGAGCTATTCTATTTTAAAGTTTATTAAATTTTTATGAAAGCTGTTGTCTCTTTAACTCACACAATTATTTTAAATTTTTATTTTTTATTCATGTTCTATTATTTATTATTAGGATGTTATTTACTAAAAATTACTATTTTGATCTCAGATACGTTAGCTAATGTTTTGCCTTCCACTAATCTTTGAGGGGCTGTAATATTCAGTTGAGAGAAAAAGCTGTAATCAAACTTCTTTAAAGTAAATTTCTTATATCAGGTGTTTCACATAAGATATAGTTAGAGTCCTCATTTTTATGATTTATACTTTGTCATTTGTTGATTAGAAGAAAATTTCTCGCTGCTACTATTGTTTTGTAAAATATTTGTAGATTTATTTTTGGGAGATTTTATTTTAAGGGGAGATTGAATCAAATTTTTTTTTTAAATATTAAATCTTTGTTCACATGGTTTGTATTGAGGATGGCTTAATTTATTGTTAAATGTCTTCATGGTTTATAAATTAGAGTTTTCTTGAGTAAAGACTTTTGGGATATGAGTATTATCCCTATATTCTGTGCCAAACAGGTTCTATTTTCGGGGTGTGACAATTAAATTTGTTGAACTTGTTGATTTTTGACTAAATGAATAAGTTAGTCATATATTATATAGAACTAGCTTTATAGAAGTGGTAGGACACAATTTAAAAAAAAAACTTAAAAAACACATATTAATAAAAAAAGAAAACAACAAAAATAAGTTGAGTATGATAATCTATCAATATAGCTAGATTTAATTTCAATAATTTATATTTAAAATATATTTAAATCAAATTAGGATTATATTTTATATTTTAACTATTTAATTATATACTTTTAATGGTTATTTATTAATTAAAGTAAATTCTTATGAGTTTATGATCCAAATTTACAATTCAAGTTTACATTCCTATCATAAATTTACTTAAACTCATAAATTTGACAACCTTGATACTTTCCGTGGGCTGGGTTCAAACCTACAAGTTTCAAATTTTTGACATGATGGGAGAAGAGAAACTGAGGCATGGTTTTATTTCAGTTTTTAAAAAGTATTTTAAATTTTAAAATAAAAAATAAAAACAAATTTGAATAAGTGTTTTAATTTTAAATGTTTTCAAATTTCTCTCCCTCGTGTGAGTGTCTCTGTCCTTTGTGGGAGGTGGTTCCGATGGTTTCTGTCTCGTCGATTGGTTGTAATGGTTTTGTACTGCCGATGTTGGCGGCGACGAACTGGCGATTGAGGAGAGAGTGTTGCCCTCTGTGGCCCATTGCGGCGGAACAGGTAAAAGAGTGTGCTCTTTGGTTTGTGCGTTGCGAAGGAGGAGCTGTGAGGTTTGAGTGTTAAGGGTAAGAGTTTGGAACGGTAAGTATGGAGGCTAGGGTTTACGGTGGAGGTGCTTTAATTGGCAGAACCTTAGTGGAGAAAGAGTCGAATCATAATACGGTAAAGAATATGATTTGGATATAGTTGACCAAGTTTACAAGAGGCATTTAAATCATAAAAATTACAAATATGGAAACAATTAGAGTTGAAAACAAAAATATATCAAAAATAAACAATAAAGCACATTATCTTTCATTATTGTAAATCACCTTTAACCATTTTTTATTTTTCAAAATAAAAATATCTTAAAATTATTATTTTATGTATAAAGCACGTTAAGATTTGACTATTATAAGTTATATTTAACTATATGATTCATGATTGTCATAGATTATTACCATTAACGATTGACAATTATCATTATCGACTAATTTTTAACTCTAAAATAGTTTAAAATTTTCAGAATCAAGCAAATTAATTTTTTTTTGTTTCGATTTGAAAACAATTTAAAAAATGATTTGCAAAATAATTTTTAAAAAACAAAAGAGGGAATAAAAGCTAACGAGCCCTACTATTTTGAATTATTTTGTTATTCAGCTAGATGTTTATCATGACTAAGTGGATTTTTTTAAATTTCATATTCAGATTTTTTTTAACTAACGGGTTTAACTCTAGCAAAAGAGATTAGTTCTTTACAATATGCTAAATGAAAGTTTAAATTTTTGCTAAAATAGATACCTATATTTAGTATTTAACAATATCTTAAAAAGAATTGCCTTTTATATATGGATTGTTGAGAATATTAAAGAAAAAAAATATTAACGATATAGATGATGGAAACCTTGCATTCATCTATTCAACTAGAGTAATTTACAAACTTCAACTTTGAGGTAAAACCACGAGCTGAGGACTTTTATTAATCTGCCTCCTCAGGTGGGATATAACCCCTAATCTCCCTTTCCTCTAATCAAATTTTGATGCCCTTTATATATAAGTTAGGTTTTAGGTAACTAAAAAATATTTAGATTATTTAATCTAATTTAATTTTAATGTTACCTTTTTATTTAAACTAAATTAGAATCTGTATTTTTTTGTGTAATAAATTTGCAATGTGGGATCTCTTGAATCTTGAGAATGTTTTCTATGGCTGCAAGCAAAAATATGGTAAATTTTTGGATGCAAGTGGTTAAATATATAAAAGTAGAGAATAAAACGAGTTGTTATTTATTCATTATTCAATGACATTTTAATATGCTAAATATGCATAACATAAAAGATTGGATTAAATTTTAATTAACATATCATGCAAAATTTTCTATCATTTGTTACTATAAAAAAACTTACACAATAAAAACTATTAATCAGGTCTAATAGATATAAATATAGGTTGTCTTAATTTACAAAAGTGATCAATATTATGTATATATATACATAATTTATATACTCTTTTCTGTCTATTCATTGTGCACGAGAGATGAAATTTTTAACCCTTTTGTGAATCCATGACTTTTTTCCCACCGGAATATAAGCTAGTTATTGACACAAATTATTAAATTAATCCATGATTTTTGTCTTTTAACTTGACTGTTTTTGGATTATCTATTTGGATGAACTTATTCATTATAGGCTTCGGCTTACGAAGAGGCCCAATAAAAGATTTAAGGGCTTTGCAAATATTTTTCCTCTTGGGCTTTGTTTTTAGGTTAGAATGCATTTTTACTAATAAATTGTATTGCAAGGAATCAATAAGAATTAAGTCTAATGAAAAGAATTAATTTATTACAACATGATAAATTAAGATTTGCATTTTTATTTGGAGAAGTTTTTACATTGTGTGCCAAACCATGACTTGAATAGAATTGTCTCTAATCAAAAGATACTCTTTTAATCTTATTTATAAGGCAGAGAGAGAAGAAAAAATTGATCCTATTTATAGGAAACTGATCAATATTCAATGCTCCTATTTATATTTTTGCCCTTATTAAATGCTTTAAATAAAAATACCGATAATAAAATTTAAAAATATTTATTAAGGGTAAAAGTGAAAACTTGTTAAATTTTAAGATAAAGTTAATGAAATTTAAGGTTTTCCTTGATTTAGATAAAACATATTGAAAGTAATTTACAAATAAAATTAGAGAGAGTACCTATGATCAATTTGAAAAAAGTGTCGCACAAGGAGTATTAATTACCCTAAATTATTCATTGCACCGATGATCAGTATTGGTCCTCAAACGTCAAAGCCGTTGCGATAACACCCTTAAAATAACGAACCTGAACATTAATAGTTAGCTTCAGACTGACTTTATTTATACATGTTAAAGAGCATTTTCCCCCTTTAAATACAGATACAATAATGCATTAATGCGCCATAATTAAAAAATTAAAAACAATAAAATAAAATCTAATCGCTTTTACTGTCCTGATGAATCCTGATTAATCTCGTCCAGAATTACAATGAGTGCCACTATGAAAGCATAATCCACGTTGGGGTACACCGTCACCATGAAATTTGTTTTCCCGAGCATAACGCTTTGGACTGTGTGCTTCTTATGCATCTGCAATATTGAATATTCCCATCATAATTAATTTCGCTCCACGGTTAATTTTAAAATAAAATTGTGATTTTTTGGGCAAAAATAAAATAGTAATTGTTAGGCTTTAAAGGGACAACCAAAATATAAATTTGGAATACGATAATGCGCAGACATGTACAACGAAAAAAAAAACGATTTGCTATAAGAGGAAGAGTTGGTGTGGTTTTTGTTTAGGAGAAAATGACAAAAAATAATATTGACGCTAATATATCATTGAACGAAGATAGCTTAGAGTTTGTGAAGACGGGTAGAATATGACAAAAAAAAAATAATAATGTGATTGAACGAGACATTTTGATCAATAATATATCTAAGAGTTTGGTTGTTAACGGACTACAGTAACGTCATGTAATTTATATAGCCTGTATTATTATTGCTGTTTTGATTTATATAACAATAATTCTTAATCTTTAAAAGAAAAATATTTAAAAAATTAAATACCTGAGCAACGATGGTGTTGGATTCACCAGCATAAACAGCACAAGATCGCTCGAGCCAACTTCCTTTGATCTTAAAGTCACAAACTTGTTCATTGGTATTAGAAGCCAAGAACACATCTAATTTGGTTTTAACCAACTGGATCAGAGATGATCGCTTTAGAGTAAACATGAGATCCTTTGGGTCGGTACTGTCTCCTCTAAAAGCTTGCCATCGATCATGTACAGTCATTATCTGCAACATCATATCATCTTTGAGACTCAGTTTTCGATCGAGCTTGTTTTCTTTTCGATTGAGGATTGATTTGTAAGAAGAAATTAAAGTTGAGAAGCTGGGGCGTGTGAACATAGTGACAAACCTTCCTGCGCAGAGTGACGACGGGGTTTTGAGCAGCGTCAAGTAAGACACGACGGTCGTGGAGGGATAGAAGAGACGCCTGAAGCTTGAAAACGACGTTGCCGTTTAAGTCCGTGACCGTGAACTGATCGGCAAGAGTCATCACCTTTCTAACGATTGCTAGGTCCACCGGATATGGACAACAGTACTGTGGTCCGATCACGGCCATTGCAGTCGGGTAAGGCGGTGCGGATGAGGTGGGGACGGCGCCGGAAGCGGAGGCATACGGCTGTGGGTATTGCATGATTGGTTCCCGTCTAAAGAAAACCGATGACTATGAGAAAGGACTAACTCGTCAAAACAATTAAGTATATATGCGTGTGCGTGCGTTGTGACTTGTGAATATTTGGTGAGATGATTATTCTGTAGACTAAGGCTCTTTTGTGTGTGTGTTTTGAAGGCTTGAAGTTGTACGCGCACAAGAACCAGCGTAGGAAGCTGCCGAAGAAGAAAACCTTTCAATGAATCGTACGCGTCATCGTCTCTTTTTTGAAGCGTACGCTCAATGGCTTGACTTTGGAATAAGTCAACCATCTTTTTGGATGGGGTTGGTGAGGGAATTACAACAATTTAATGTTTTCAAAATGGAACTCGATATTAAGCTAGGAAGGTAAACGGTTTACGATTTATGTGATTCAATTGGGTTGAACTAATGATCGAACCGACAATATAATAATTAAATTAAAAAATTATATATGTATATAATAATATAAATATAAGAAATAAATATGAAATTATTACTTAATTTAAAAATAAAACTAAATATTTTAAGTTTTTCATGACTTAACAAGTCATATAATACAATATAACATTAAAGATTAAAAAATTGGTTATTTTCTAAAGAAATTTGATAAAAAAAAATGGTATTTTTTAAACAGCTTAGTTTTTGAAAATTGAATCTAGTTCCCTGCTTGATCCCAGTTCCTGATCCGTTTATCAGTCTAAAGTGATCCACTCTGGCTCAACTTTTAAAACGATCTTTTCAGCTTAATCAAATCATTAGCTTGACTAGTTCGACCATTCGATTTGGTCTGATTTTTTAATCATTGCAATAATTCGTGAGGAGGAGCAAGTCGTGTGAAAAAGTTTTGTGATATAAAATAAAATTATTAGTGAGGCCTAATGTGTATAAATGTCCCTTTAAACAAATATGTATCTTTATATTTTTTAAAATTACAATAAAATTAAAGTTTTGTAATGAAACATTTTCATTTAAGATATCTTAACCATACTTAATAAAAAAGAGGACCCTTTAAACTCAAAAAATTCTCTTCAAACCAGGGTTATTGAAGTGAAATTAAAATGTAGAGTAAAATTATTTGATTGTCTTTCACATTCCTTTTGATTCTTTATTGAAGTTGTTTATTTCCCTATATGAAATTGTTTATTGACCTATAAGAGTTATTTATGTCTTTATTGAATCTTGGTTTTATTTCAAATATTATAATCATGATAAAATAAGTTGTTCATTTCCTTACATCAAGTTGTTCATTGACCTATGATAATTTTTTGTGTCATTATTAAACAACTTTATGTAAGGAAATGAATAACTTTCCATTGATCAATGAACAACTTATGTAAAGAAATGAACAACTGCAATAAAAAATTAGAGGAGATGAGTAACGATGAGATATAAATTTACTCTGCGTTTTAATTTCATATTAGCACCCTAGGTCTAAATTGAATCTTCAAAGTTTAAATAGTCTTCTTTTTCATCAAGTATGGTCAAAGAGTCTTAAATGAAAATTCCTTTTGTAATTCTAATAAAAAGTCAAATTGATGTTACAGAGATAGAGAGAGAGATGAAATTAAATTGTCGCTGATCGAGTGTTTCGTCTCCCTCTATCTTAAATGGTAGCATGATAATGTTAACTATGATATGGGGCACTGTGGCAATACTTTTTGTAGAAAAAAAAGTTGTAATTTAGAAATTATATGAATGGATAATCGGAAAAACCAATAATAATAATAATAATAATGATTATGGAAGTTATTATAAATTACAGGATTTTGAAATCCAAGGCTGCCGCGTGCCTTAAAACTTAAAAGCTCAAAGCCACATTGATCACTAATGGAACTCTGGCTGCTAGCGAATTTGTGAATTCTAATGTGAATCTCTAGTAGATTTCAGAAAGGTAAGCTATTTTAAATTTATTAGAACAAAATTGTGAAAATCTATATAATAAGATAGTTATAAATTGAGTTGTTTAGTTGACAAAAACTATATATTTGAATTCTTGCACTTAATTTAAAAGAGCTGATTTTAAATATATATATATATATATATATATAATACAATCCCAAAAGGGCTTTTATAAATATATTTGCTTAGCCAGCAAAATACTAGAAGTTAATCTTCTAATACAAATGACTAATATCTGCTGGGAAACCACATGGAAAACTAATATTTGGGTTCCAACGTACGATTAAAACAACAGTCACACAATCCATATTTCTAAAAATACCATTGCATTTAAAACCGCCTAGAGTCCATAAAAGGTTGGGCGAAGCTAAAAAAGTCATCAAGTCTCTCAGAAAAATGATCCATAAAGTAGAGTTTCTCAACCAAATTCACCAAAAATGTAATGACTATTTAGACAAGTTCTAAGTGTGTGTTTGGATTAAAAAAATTTGCAATTGAAGTTATAGTTAATTGAGATTTGCAAACTAAAGTTAAAAAAAATCTGTAATTTTAACGTAATTTATGTTTGAATAGTTTTTTTTTTTAAGTTAGTTGAATAAATTAAATTTTGTTTGGATGATTTGATTTAAAAGTTAGTTAGGATGTATAGTGATAAAAATAAATATGAATTTTCTTGTTTATACTTTTGTAACTAATTTAATATTTTTTCTAAAAAAATGTTAAACATAAAATTACAATTTTTTAAAAAAAGTAGATTAAAAGATAGAGTATAAATGTAAAATAAATTAATAAATCATAATTCACATAATATAATTATAATTATTTTTCAATGTTATAATTTAGAATATTTAGATTTAGAGAAATTGTTACAATTTTATAAATACTTATTAACAATAATTATATTTAAGTCATATGTATTATAATATAAATTATAATATAATATTAATAAGTTATAATAATTATATAAATATATATTATATATTAATAAATTATACTAAAATATTGTTTATAAAAAAAATTATAATATAATATTTTCATTTACCTTCTCATTTCGAATGTCTTTTTTTCATCCCTGTTCTCGGCAATCCCTGAATCCCTCCTCCCCACCCTATTCCTCACCTCTTTTTCAATCTTCTTTTCATCTTCACTCATCGCACTCCTCTCTCAATCCTCATATTATAATTAACAGCAGCTTAATGGGTTTTGATCTGTTTCGACAACAAATCCAACTTGTCCTTACAACAGAATGGAGCCTTATTCATGAACTTGCTGTCCTCGTCAACGGTGTGCGCGATTAGCTCATCGACCTCTATTGGCACCTCCTCGAATGATGACAACAGCAAGGAGAGGCAACAGCTGATGTGCTTGTGAAAATTGAACGAAGACAGAACAAATAAGATGAATGGGACCTGAACAGATTTTTAATACAATCGTGGATCTGCTTAATAAAAGATCGTGACACTTGATTTGTGAAAGAAGTGATAGCCAACGACAAAAAAGAAGATAAAAGGAAAAGGAATAGTATCTGGTTATTATCTATCTAGAGTTCAAGCCGATCCACCAAAAACAAAAAAGTGCCTTGGAAACCAGTCAGATATTGAACCATGGCAAAAAAAAAAAAAAATTGTTTGTTGATTAAAATCAGATAAAAAAAACTGATTTGTTTTTAATTAAATATATTAATGTATCGATGCAAATATGTGAATGTTATAGATAACTACTTAATTATAAAAATAAAATACGAGACTAAAAAGGAAAAAATAGTCGCGACTAATTTTGAAATGTAAATAAATTAATCTATTGATCATTTCACTTCCCCCCCCCCTCCGGATTTAACCGTATGAATAGGTCTTATTTCTCACGTAGGAGCTTCTCTTATGTGTATTCTTAATTGTAGCTCTATGTATAATCGAAAATAGATTTTAGTTGGAGCCTCTCTTAATCTTCTAATGTAAAAGCGCACGATTGAATGACTTCGGGAGATTTGACACAATTGATGTTCTCAAACCAAAAACAAATGAAAAAAAAAAAAGAAAAGAAAAGAAAAGGACGCCATTGATGTTCGGCTTATATTGCTGGCAGTTTTTTACCTTGTAGAAAGAAAAACGATGAACGGCCAATCTAGGGATGCTTGTCCCGCTGTAAGCCAAACGGATACAAAACACTCGCAAGGTTAACTAATTAACGAACCGCACTGTGAATCAAGAAATGTCAAATACTCCGCGGTCACATTTTATCATTTTGCACCAACACATGCATCCAAGAGTTTTACAGGGTATCAAATCCTCACTCAAACTTGTTCCCCATAAACTGAAAAGATTTAATTCAAACAAGATCGCTTCTTGTTTCAGTGGATGGACAGAATATTGTGGATCAATAGGCCCAAGATGAGCGTATATCTCATAGCTCATATATTGCTGCTCTCATCTCATCATAGCACGCTGTTACTTCAATAGACCTAAATATTTATTCCATGGAATAAATATATATATATATATATATAATACAATCCCAAAAGGGTTTTTATAAATATATTTGCTAAGCCAGCAAAATACTAGAAGTTAATCTTCTAATACAAATGACTAATATCTGCTGGGAAACCAAATGGAAAACTAATATTTGGGTTCCAACGTACGATTAAAACAACAGTCACACAATCCATATTTCTAAAAATACCATTGCATTTAAAACCGTCTAGAGTCTATAAAAGGTTGGGCGAAGCTAAAAAAGTCGTCAAGTCTCTCAGAAAAATGATCCATAAAGTAGAGTTTCTCAACCAAATTCACCAAAAGTGTAATGACTATTTAGACAAGTTCTAAATCATTAAGTTAAAGCATTAACAGTGTCATGACAACGTAAATATAAACGACAACGAGGACATGCGCCAAACCAGAGAGGAGCCACCCCGAGCCGTCAAAATGCTCACTTCTATCATGCATTCCCATGATTCCTCAACAGCTGGATCCTTCCCCCTGAAAATGATAAATTAACATTTGTGACATCTAATGCAGTAATATTTGGTTATTATAACAGATACAAGAAAATACTTTCGAAAACCCACTATAAATCATAAGAACTCATAGTTGATCACTTAAACCATTTAGTACGGACAATACACATTATCAAAAAATGTAAAGCATGTTAATCAAACATGTGTGATGATGTTGCCTTCTACCTTTATCGTCCTGGCTGGAACTATAGGCTAAACACATAAAGCCTAATAGAATTTCATTCTCAAGAATGGTCAATGTGTGTCCATTTAACGTAAAAAGCAATATTTCTATGGTTTAACTTTTTCAAGAGTGATATTACTAAGATGACAAATAATATTTAGAACATTAGGTGCTTCTATGAAAGTTCAAGGATAAAAACACACTGAACCCAATAATCAAATATGCGTGAAAGTTCCTACCCCTATTTTCTCCAAACCAACATGTCACCAAACCTCAAACTAGCCAGAATCATTTCTAAAACTAACTATTCATCACAACCACACACACACACACGCGATTTGGTACTTGAACATATATATATATGTATAGGTATATATATACGATTTTGGATGTTAAAAGTATGTTACATTTGGTACTTGAATAAATATATTTCAGCATTTCTAGTGACTGAACTTTAAAAATCTCTCTTCCACAAAATTGATAATTTTGTCCCAAAATAATAATGCTCCCAGATTTAAATTAAAATAGAACTTCTGGCAAAAAAGTGAAAATAAAAATAAAATAGAACAACATCTGCAAGAACCTCCATGGCCAAATCCGTGCATGGCTTTTAACCGCCACTTTGGTCTTGGTTAATCTCATCCAGAATAGCAACGAGTGCCACTATGAAAGCATAATCCACGTTGGGGTACACTGTCACCATGAAATTTGTTTTCCCAAACACAATGCTTTGAAATGTGTGCTTCTTATGCATCTGCACAATATACCCATAATTTTCCACTGTTAATTTATATCACCACTTTTCCACTGTTAATGAATATAATTTTCCAAGGGCTTTCATTAAGCAAGCACCTGGGCAACAATGGTGTTGGATTCCCTGGCATAGACAACACAAGATCTTTCCAGCCAGCTTCCTTTGATCTTAAAGTCACAAGCTTGTTCAGTGGTATTAGAAGCCAAGAACACATCTAATTTGGTCCTAAGCTGGATCAAAGATGATCGCTTCAGAGTGAATAAGAGATCCTTCGGGTCGGTGCTATCTCCTCTAAAAGCTTTCCATTTGTCATGTAGTGTCATAATCTGCAACATCATATCATTTCTTGCCTTCTCTGATTAATTTCTTGTTTTCTTCGTCTTATCTCGAATCATGTAATTTTGACAGAACTAGGAAAAACAAAAAAAAGGGAAGAAGAGTACAAACCTTCCTGCGCAGAGTGATGACGGGGTTTTGAGCAGCGTCAAGCAAAACACGGCGGTCGCGGAGGGATAGAAGAGACGCTTGAAGCTTGAAAACGACGTTGCCGTTTGAGTCTGTGACGGTGAACTTATCGGCAAGAGTCATCACCTTTCTAACGATTGCTAGTTCCACCGGATACGGACAACAATAATGAGGCCCCACCACCGCCATCGGCGTTGGGTGCAGCGGATAGACGGAGATGGCGGCGCCGGAGGTGGAGGCATACGGCTGTGGGTGTTCCATGCTTGCGGTGGCTCAAGTCTGAAGAAAACCGATGTGTCGTAAAAACAAAGAACCATGTGCCGCGGATATTCTGTGAGATATATTATCCTGTTTTGGAAGGAAAGTCAACCACTTATTAGTAAAAAAGTTATTAGCGGGGGGAACTTTCAATATTGAACCGTACACGTCATCGCCTCTCTTCATCGTACCGAAGCGTTCTCTTTTATTTCTTCATCGTTTAATGATTTGACTTTAGAATACGTGAAATTTTATCCTGCCCATTGTTTGACCTCATTTAACTGTTCATCACGCTTATTAACATAGTGTGGTGAGATTTGAATTACTTAAATTTAAATTTTAAAATATTATTTTATTTCATATTTATTGTGAATGTATAACTAGATAATTAATATAAGAAAATATAATTTTAAATTTATATACTTTGCTCGCATTTTATTATTTCAGTTATTTAACATTTTTCAGTATTTTTATTCCTTATACTTTTATTTTTTATTATTTTAATTCTCTCAATGAATAAAATATAAGAATTTTGGAGGAGTCTAAAATAATAAAAAATAAAATTATAAAAATCAAAAATACTGAAAAAGTACAATAATTAATAACAAATTATGAACAAAGTACATGAACCTAAACTTATATTTTTCCTAATTAATATTTGACAATTATAAAAATTTTAATGTTAAATTGAATCCTTTAAATTAAACTTAGACTAAATTAAAAATAAAAAATATTAAAATTATTTGATAATTTTATAACTTTTTATTTTAATAAATATAAAATAATATAATATAACAATAATTTAAATCTAAACTATTTAAATTAAAAACTATATGGTTTAGATCTCATCACAATGATGAGCATCATGGTATTCATCATTATGATGAATATAGAATATGAGCCCCTATTGTTTTTTTTTTAAATATATTTGTAGGTTCTTATAATTTCATTTAATTTTGAATTAAATCCTTGCAATTTATTTTATATTAATCAAGTTCTTATAGTTTTATCTATTATATATTACTCCCTTCGTTAAAAAATATAAGGCACTTTTTGAGAAGTTAGGTGTTAAAAAATGTAAGACATTTTTAATCTTTCGAAATGTAATCATTACTCCTTCCGTTCAAAAATATAATGTATTTTTAATCAAATCTCATTTCAATAAAGTAGTTACTTATTTTTCAACTAACCCTATCTTTTCATATTTATCTCTATTAAGCATCATGTAATAAATATAAAATCATTATCAATAGCGGCACTTTTGAAACAAAAAAGGCAATGATTATATTTCAAAAGATTAAAAATGTCTTACATTTTTTAACATCTAACTTCTCAAAAAATACCTTATATTTTTTAACAGAGGGAGTACCTTTTTTTCAAAAGTGCCCTCATTAACAGTGACTTTATATTTATTATAGAGTGTTTAATAGGGATAAATATAAAAAGATAAGGTTAATTGAAAAGTAAGTAACTATTTTATTAAAAATAAAATTTAATTAAAAATGCTTTATATTTTTAAATAGAGGGAGTAACTCTTAAAAATTAAAATTAATAATAAATTATTAAAACTTATAAAAGAAAAATGCTCTTGGAGTTTATAGAAAATTTAATTTAATATTTTTAAGCAAAATAAAAAAATTAATTTAACCCACTGTTTACATTTTTGTTATAATTTTTATAAAAATTATACATATATAAAAAATATTTAAAAGATAAATTAATTATATAAATTTTGAGTTATAAAAATTACATAATTAATTTTAAAGTCATATAATCATTTAATAAAATTATAAAAGTTTTTAATTTTATTTTTTAAGGGACGTAAGGATTTTAAATTTTTAAGAATTAAAAATTTAATTAATTTAATTATAAGAGTTCAATTAAAATAAAATAAATTAAAAAAATTTAATTTAAAATTGAGTGAAATTGTAAAAAGCTGTATATTTATTTTCACCTTTTATTTTTAGCAGTAGGTTAATAATTATTGAGTAAGCTAATAATTTAATTAATATGTATATATCTAGCTTTAATCCTGGCCTTTTAAGTAGGAAAATTAACAATGAGGAACGAACAAACTTTAAATTATTAATTAAAATCTTAATTTTATTTACAATTAAAATATATAAATAATTAATAAAAAGTATATTAAATATATTTTAAATTATTTATAATATTAATTGAAAATTTATGAAGATAAATTATGAATCTTAATTTTAAAATTTATTGGAGACAACAAAAGGAGTACTTTTTTTTTTTTGGGTGTAATTTTCAAAAAATAAATCTAGGAATTAGGATACTGGCATGACAAATGACACAGCGCTCCACCTTTGGCGCCGCGAGTTCGTCCGCCGCTCGCCTTCCTGGTCCTAATACAGTAATCCTACTCCGCTAAGTCGCTTCAGCCCTCAACCACGCCGGCACTTGGTCAAAGCCTCACAACTTCCATCTTCCATCAACTTGTGAGACACACATTCTGGAGCTTCAAGACGAAGCTATATTGGGTTGCTTTCTCAATCTTAAAGGTTGGTCCTTCAAGTTTATCTTTTCCCTGCCTTTCCATTGATCTCTGATTTTTCCCTGTTCAAAAAAGTCAAGTTTCTTCGTTTCCTTTCTATTTCTCATCCTTTTGCATCCTCGTGAAGTCTCTGATTTTCTCATTTACTTTTTGGTTTGGGAATATAAAAACAGAGGAGAAGATTAAAGTGGCATCTAATGCGTTTCAAGAGCTTGAATCTTTGGGATATTGATGAAATCAATTTGCCTTGAAGGTACAATCGAAACATGCTATTTTGAATTCTCTTCTCCGTTTTTTTCCCCCAAAGTGATTTATATTATGAATATGTATTTTGCAACTTCTTCTTTACTTGAAAGAAAAGCTTCTTTATACCTGATACAAGTTTTTCCTTTAGTGCTTACCTACAAATACGTGTGTAAGAGAAAGCCTCTCTTTTTTAAACCATGTAGAAAAATGTGAGATTTGAAAGAAAATGTCTCCAGTAGTCTTCTTTTGATGGAGTTCTGTCCAGTTTATTTGGTTTTTGAACTGTTGAATGTTGATGATATTTAAATTTTGTAAGTTTAAAACTTAGACTGTTAAATTAGAGAATGCATTATCTAATTGGAGACCACCGGAGGTGAAAAATTGAAGTCAGCAGCAAATCCTAGGATGATGAAAAATTTTCTGTTAGATGAATTGTTTCTGTAGTTTTTGGGGGTTTGGGGTCTTCAATAAGTGATATAAATAAGCTCTTGATACTACAAATTAAAAAAAATACTTTAGAGAAAGAACCAAAATTTGCCTTGACGGTGCTTTCTTAAAAGTTCTTTTACTTTGCTTCTCATAATGTTTGCCTAGAAATATTAAGCCAAAAGCACATTTAAAATTCCAAAAGTGCTATCCACATAGACACTAAACTTATGCGTTTGAAATGCTGAAAAATGATTATAGATGAAGAGGACGGGATGGTTAAGAGTTAAGACTTAATATATCTTTTTATTTTTTGAATAGATTTTAACTGTTATTATTATAATTATCTATTTCGATATTCGTTCTTCAAAGTTCAAACACGCCACAATTCATGGAACCAAACGAGTATCAAAAGTATAATGCTAGGCCTATGACTACTTGTATTCCAGAATCTTAGGATAGTCATGTTGTATTGGATGTCATTTTCAATGCGTTCACTTCACTTTCCCACTCTGAACTCTGAGGAGGAATTGGTTTGTCTTTAGATACTCCGAGGTTTCCAACGCCAACACAAGCCTCAGATTCTGGTGTGAGATTTTGCCTGTTTTCTCTCTGTAATACTAATATGGTCAGAAATCCTTTATCTGATAGTTCCAATAAATACCTCCGAAAGTTCAGGAAATGGCCACATTCCCCTTACAAGACCTTTTGGCACCACAACTTCGGCCAACATCAAGCTATGCAAATCCTCGTTCAAGCTGCGACAGCAACCTCGCCATTGCCTTCCTCAAACGACAACCTTAACATGCCCTCTCTTCTTTCCACTCTTATCCACTCTTTCAAAACTTATAACTGTGACCCTACTCCTAATGCCTACTACTTCCTCATCAAAACCCTTTCCCGCACTTCAAGATTGCATGAGATTCCTCTAGTTCTCGACCAACTCGAACGCGTTGAGAAATTTGAGACACCCGAGTTCATGTTTGGCTATCTTATTAGAGATTATGGTCGGGCTGGTAAATTTCAAGAGGCAATTGACCTGTTTTACAGGATCCCTAAATTCAGGTGCGTTCCAACTATTTGTTCTCTAAACTTATTGCTCTCGGTGCTTTGTAGAAATCGAGAGTGTCTCAAATTGGTTCCACTGATTTTGTTGAAGAGTCGGGGTATGAATATCCGAATTGAAGAATCGACTTTTGGGGTTTTGATTAAGGGTTTATGTAGATATAATAGGGTGGGTTATGCCATTGAGATGCTTTATTGTATGATAGAGGATGGCTACCATCTGGACGATAAAATTTGTTCTTTGATTGTTTCGTCATTTTGTGACCAAAATGATTTGACGTTTAAGGAGGCTCTGGGTGTATGGGGAGATATGAAGAAGTTCGGTTTTTGTCCCCGTATGATGGATTATTCCAATTTGATTAGGTTCTTGGGGAAGAAAGAAAAAGGTAGGGATGCCATGGGTATTCTGAATCAGATGAAAGAAGATGGAATCAAGCCCGATATAGTTTGTTACACCATGGTTTTAAGTGCTGTTGTTGCAGAAGGGAATTATGTGAAAGCACATGAACTGTTTGACGAATTGCTTGTGTTAGGACTTGTTCCTGATATTTATACTTATAATGTGTACATAAACTGCTTGTGTAAAGAGGATAATGTGGAGGAGGCACTTAAGATGGTTTCTTCTATGGAAGATTTGGGATGCAATTCAAATGTGGTTACTTACAATACTTTGTTGGCTTCCTTATGTGAAGCTGGGGAGTTAAGTCGAGCAAGGGGCCTTTTGAAGGAGATGAAGATGAAAAGGATTGAGCTCAACTTGCATACGTATAGGATCATGCTTGATGGTCTGGTTTGCAAAGCTGAAATTACTGAAGCATGTTCTTTATTGGATGAAATGTTGGAAAAGTGTTTATATCCACGATCTTCAACCATTTATAATATTATATATGAGATGTGCCAAAAAGGCTTGGTTACTGAAGCACTGGAGTTAATGGAGAAATTTTCTGCAAAAAGTTTTCCCCCAGGAGCTAGGGCTTGGGAAGCGCTGCTCCTTAATTCAGGGGCTAAGCTTAGTTATTCAGAAGCCATTTTAGCTGATCTGGTGAAAGCAAACTAACCGCAGTTTTCAAGTTAGCCTGGGGGTTAGATCTGATCTCAAAATCTAAAGGACTTTCAGCTTGTTTGGATAAAGAGCTAAAGCATAAACAGGTAACAACGTAAACAAACTAGAGCAACGTGTGCAACCTTCAATCAGCCTGTAGAAAGCTGAATTACTAATTGAGCTCACAAATGATTCTTGCAGAATTTACACTTGAGTAACTTTAATGGATCAACTCCTTTTGCAACCAAAATGAAGAAAGGTAAGTCTTTCAAACCTGGTAAGCAGAATCTGACAAGCAAACATGCAATTCTCTTTTCAGATTTAGGTTCTTCTTGTTGGTGGTGGTCAATTCACAAGTACATCTGTACTTCATAAAAGAAATTCTAGTGATATATGCTGTCCCTGTCTAGTTTCTTTCTTAAGTTTTACTTTCGTTATGAGTAAATTGCCCTGATGCTCCTTGAGGTTTACTGAAATTATTCTCACCTCCCTTGTTTCAGAAATTACAGTGACTTCATAATTCGAAATCTTACTGAATGCTGATTTTTAAATTTCCAGACACAAATCCCTGTGCAGCTTTCTGTACATGTTCAGAGAAAAAGGACGCTGGTGTAATTTCAAGTAAGCCTCACAGGAGTGTAGCATATTTTTCTTCTATATTATTTTCAGTTGTGGTCCCATTTTTTGCACACCCATATGCCCTAGTAGGACTAGAACTCTTGCCTTTGTTGATTATGACACTTAAATCACTAATGTCCCAAACAAGCACAAGTATGGATCAAAAATTCTTATAGAGCTGACTGTCTAAGGGAAAGGATCAAAGGAAAGGTATTTGGTTGTATATGTTTCTTATTTCCTTTTTGAGCTGACAATCACAATTTGATCACATTGTACGACTGCTGTAAGCCTGTAATGTTGACTGCCACAATATGTTCTGAGTCTCACATTTCCTTTTCTATTCCTGCATCCAGAAGGGAGAGAGGGTGTTAAGTTTTCATGTGTTGTCTTGTTGGCCATATAAAACCTTGTTATTTAGAATACGCTGGTTGTCACTTGAGTTGGATTTATATAATATAATTATACTCATTTTAACCTGCTTCTTTTCTTTGATGCATCAGTAACCCAAAAAAAAAATAATAATTATGGAATTAAAAGTTCTTTCTATTTCATAACTGCATGCAAGCACTGTGCGATTCTTAGACGCAATTGATTGTTTAGGTCTATCAACGTGATGGATATCAATTGGACAGTTTACTGGCTTCATAAATTCCGTTGGCCCCTTACCTAGACCCCTTGAAGCTGTTTCTTCTGTTTATCATGTGGGTAATATGCTTTACTACACGCTGCTAGGTAGATAAGCAATATGATTCTTATCTTCTCTTGTGTAATTCTATCAACTTTCCATGTGTAATGAGATGAATAGTATTGTTCTACTGATCTTGATGCATAGCACTTGCTTCTTTTAGGGAAAAAGGCTAGCAGAGTAACCCAGATGATGTCAAAAAATTATATTCGGAGGACACTTCTAATCGAAATGCCAATAAAATGAATATGCAATGTGAGGAAGATAGTCAATTGTATATTGAAATGAAAGGGAGAAGATGCTGCTGCCACGGCACAAGAGAGCATTTGTGTGTCATAGACATTAAATATATGTAGAGGCCAACCATATCTGCATTTGTGTTATTAATAGAAAGAGCTCCCATTTTTTAGACTGAATCAAAATAGGTGTACTATATATTGCAAGTCTTTTTCTTGTAGAAGGTGCATTTAGGGCATTTTGGTTCAAAATATAAATTCCGTATCTACATGTTTTATTTGTGTATTCATTAACTCTTTCCTTACATTATGTTTGACGTGCTTTATTAGTTACTTGTGAATAGCCAGAGTATCCAAGCTTTGGTCTGATTGTAGGTTCGTATCTTGAATTCATGTCGATCTCTATGCCTTTAGAACAAGTTACTGAGTGAAATATGGCAGACAATGACCTGCTTCAGTACATCTGCAGCTTACATTGAAATTTATTGTTATAAATCTTGAGATTTCATTTTACTGAATACAGAAAACTATGAGCTGTCCTGAATGATTTTGAAAATATTGTAATTCATAGTTACAATTCTTGAGACTTCATTTTACCTTGCTCGTTTGAATTGTTGAGCACGACAATCAGTATAGCTATGTCAGGAAGGTAGTTCTTAACTGCACACTCCTGGACCGGACCTCAAGTTCAAAAATTGTGTTTGAGGTTTTCTTGGGTTGAGCTTTAGATTCACAGCCAACCTGGGCCGGTCCGCTTCATATACACCTTATCCGTGTCATCATGGGTAGGTTCTTCCTTCTTGTTTTTTATATTTCAGCTGTTGAAGATGAAGGGTCTATCTAAAATCCTGTTCTGGGAACAGTTTTCTGTTCTCCAGAACAAAAGAACAAAAAAATTCATTTGGTAACGTGTTTTTAAAAAGTGTTTTGAAGAATAAAAAAATAAAATATTATTCTGGAGAACAGAAAAATGAAAACAACTTTTAAGTATTCTGTGATTATTGTTCTGGAGAACAAGAGAAAATGAGAAAAACACTTATTTTTAATATTTTTTTTGTTCTTAAAACATGTTTTACAAAACATTAGTTCTCAAAATAATAAAATAAAAATAATTTCAAACAGCCTTGAAGTGATTCTGACTCGGCAATGCTAAGTAATAGACAACTTTGGATTAACTTCATTTTTCCAAAAAAACAAAAAAAAAATCCTTTTATTACAAATACTCACAAGTGGCAAAGGGAATAATGACAAATACTTAGAGCGTGTTTGGTTTTTGTTTTCATTTTTTTTATTTTTAAAAATTGTTTTTCAAAACAAAACAAAATGAAAATTTCTTTAGTTATATTAATTTTAAAAAAATTAGAATTAAAAAATAGATTGATTATGATGGTTATAGGCAGTTAATAATGGTAATTTTAAAAAAAATTGATCAAGAGAACTACAATTTTTAATAATCAAATGCAGAGTGTTTTAAAAATAAGAAAAATAAAATAAAAATAACTTAAGCTTGTTCCTATGTTTTTGTTTTAAAAAATAAAAAACAAAAACAATTTTAAAAACGATTAAATTGAAAATATTTATCTCAACAAGTTTTTAAATTTTTCTGTTTTTAAACACAAAAAAAAGTTTTTAAAAACTGATAACACAGTCCTTAATTTTTTTTTATCAACATAGTCAATTTTTTTATGCAGATATTTGTGTCTCAAGTGACAAAAGAGTGAACAAGAATCCTTTTCAAGGATGTTTTTGTTCTCTACTATAATACAATGGCTTTAATCTTCTTCATAGCTGAATAATTTTACAGAAAGGTGCACTTTTAAGCAACTTGAATCGATTCACTGCTGGATGTATGTGTGTGTGTGTGTGTTTTAATTTTTTACTTTACTAGATAGAAAAATTTTTGGCCAAATACAAAATAGGAAAGTTTAAAAAGTAACTAGAAAATTAGCCAACCATAAAAGAAGTTTAGCTTTATGAAGGAAAACTTTTTCTTTTTAGCTTTACGCTAAGAATGCATATATGCTTTTATCTGCCCAAACTTTATGCCACATGAGTCAATCACTTACACACACATATTAAATTGCACGCAAGTTCAATAAATGTTGGGTCATATATGGATAATTTTTAATACTTGACTACTGTTTTTTTTTTTTAATTTGGAATTTGCTAATAACCTTTTTCTGTTAACTAATAGTATGTCATTTCACTAATTGATTTAAAAACAAAAAGACAACAGTTTTGAAAGCATTTAAATTCAAAATATTTGCCCAAATGTTTTTAAAAAATAAAAAATAATTTTTGAAAACAAAAATCAAGCATGCCATTTAATTTTTTTTAAAATATTTGTTTAAGCTCTGGATTGCTAAGCATCACCTTATCATTGCGTTCACTTCATGGTTGCTTAATTGGTACCAATGTGTGTGAAAACATAAATAGTGCTAAAGATGTAAATTTTTCTACGACTATATGTTGATAGTTAGTGTTATTAATAAGAATATATTTTGATACCCAAAAAATAAGAATATATTTCTTTACATTAATATATATTGCTAGAAGCCAATTTACTTTTCTTAAACTTGAAGGATTAAAAGGTAATAAATCACTCAAATCTGCCGTCTTGTAGCTAAATCATGAGTGACTTTTGGCAAATAAAAAAAAAAAACATAAGCCACTACCACTTAGATGTTTAAAATTCGCGTGAGGCAGTGTCTTAGGAATAAAAAGTTATAATTCAATCCTTAATAAACAATTTAAATACCTCTTTTGTATAAGTTGGTAACGTTGGTTCATATACATCTTCAAGATATGCACCAAAAAGTGAAAATGAAATGAGTTTTGACTAAAAATTAGTAAAACACTAAATCTATCATAAATCCATCATAAGTTTTCTATCAACTTCAACCCTTTCTTTTTATTCTTTATCAACCACAAGCATAAATCCATCATTATCTCATTGAATCTGATTTTTTGTTTTTGAAAAAAAAATTAAAGTTTTGTAGATTAGATTTTAATTTGTGTGGCTAATCATATCACTAGATCTTTGCTTGATGTTGCCTTATACCTAAGCTAAGATTATTATTGCTTCAATAATAATTAATCCGCTAGTGCTCCAGTGTCTGTGCTTTTCATTTGGTTATGTGTGGGTCAGAGTTGGTCTTCCTAACCAAAATATGCTTTTGTTTTTTTTTTTTTTTGAATATTTGTTGATTACTAGATTTTTAAATGAAATTAAAGCACGACATAATGTTATTTTTATATTTTAATATTCTAGGATTAAGTTCTTGTTTTAAAATTATTCTTCACAGAAAATGTTTAGATTAGATGGTTGAATATTATATAAATTTCCTTGAACTTCGTTGAAATTATATGAATGTTATATTCCTTTTATTTTTAAAATCTACATATACATTTCTCAAAAATTCAAAAATTACATGGATTATGGATGGACTATATTTTCTTGTTTTGTTATAGTTATTCTATTTATAAACCTCACAAACTTCTCTTGAAAATAAATACTAAATTACACATATACATAGAATTATAAAGACATCTTTTTTATTTTTAAAGGATTTTTGTGTAGTTTTCATAGACATAAGAAATTTATATATATATATATATATATTTAAAATTAATATTGTGTTTGGATCAATGGTTATTTGGATTTGGCCCCATTTTTAATATATAAAAATTTATGAGTTATTCAAATATAAATTGATTTCTCATTATAATTTTTTGCAATTTTAAATTCTCCTAACACCTTAATCATTTTACTCTTTATGTTTTATTGTTGGTGCCTCAATCACTCTCACTCTTTTACTCAAATCTCATTTTCATCTCTTATTAACTGAAAAATGAAGTAAGCTCATTATTTCTAATTTTTTATTTTTGTTTTGAATTTTAACTTCTCCTTTACATTTAAAATTTTTTACATTATCCAAAAATAAAATTTAAAATATAAGATTATAAATTTAAAATTCAAATCTAAATATATTAAACCCAAATGCTATCTAAATAGATAGTGCATATAAATTGTCCAAAATAGAGTAAATATTCAGAAACAAAGTTTACTAAGTATTGTTTGGTTAATTAATGTAGCAATTAGGACACTTCCTCATCACCTCAACAAGGGTCATAGGGTAAAGGACCACATCTATATATAGGGTCTATCAAAACCTAAATTAATTATGAAAATGAAGGAGCTTGTAAGCAACCAACATGTACTCCCTGAGCAAAAAGTAAAGTCAGCATTAAATAACTTAATTGATATGATAGCGATTTGTATGAGATTTTTTTTTCGGCCGAAAGATTTGTTTGAGATTGGTCCTAAGCCTAATTGATATGATACATGTTGCCACCATTTTTTTTTTTAAAAAAAAGTCGAGTACCAAACAGTGATGGATATTTATACGAATTTATGTTTAATAATTTAATTTGATTTTATATATATATATATATATATAATTTAATTGATAGAGATATAAATTTTAGCTTTAGATGAATATAAAAAAAGGGTGAGAGAGAGAGAGTTGATCAGTCACTCATATGATTCTATTGTGATAAGTACTAATCTCTTGCAGTGCTTGAAGCTTTTTCCCTTCATTTTTAACTTTTCTGGTTTTTTTTTTTTTTGCCCCCTTAAGAAACACGTTATAAATGTAAACATCAATTTGAATTATTTCCTTTGGATATCCAATTAGAGATAATGATATGAATCACGTAATTGACAATTATGTATGATACACACACATCACATAAACATGTAATTACAATTATTTACCTTTTTATTTTTTCCGAATGCATTGTCGATATATTTCTTTTTGAAAGGGGGAAAAAAAAAGTGTACACTTTTTCATTATGGACATGAAATGATGATGTCAATATCAAATCAAGGAAGCATCCTAAGACAACAGTACGCCTCGGGAACAAATTAGTTTATGTCGTTTTGGACTTTTGGTGCCTCTCGGTTGAGTTTGTCGGTGAGAGGACACTTCTCTGATTAATTGCATGAACACAAAAAACAGCATGAACCAAAATTAGGGGTAATAATTAAGATAGGGTTTATTTGGTATTGTTTTTATTTTTTATTTTTTTAAAAATATTTTATAAATCAATTTTTAAAAAATTATTTTTAAAAACAAAAAAAATAAAAATTTATTTGTTAATGTTAGTTCAAAAACATTTTGAGTTTAAAAAAATCTCCGTTTGCGATAGTTAATAATTGTTAATAGCACTAGTAGTTTAGGACAGTGATTAACAATAACTAACAATAATTTCAATTTCAATAGCCAAATATATCTTGTTTTGAAAATAAAAATTACAATGATGTTTTCAATTTATTAAAAAAATAAAAAATTAGAACAGTTTTAAAAAATATTTAAATCCAAAACACAATTTTTTATTTTTCATTTTTAAAAATAAAAAAGGATTTTTGAAAATTATACCAAATCAAATAACTTAAAATTTTCTCTTAATTATTAATTTAATCTTTAAATTTTGATACAATACAACTCCATTCTTGTAGTATATTGGATTAAAAATATATATAAACTAAATTGTATTGAGTCAAAAAAAAAAACTATAAAACTCTTTGTTTTGAGTCA